TTTATCTCTCTATATAAACATTAAGTTCTAAAATTTCTTTTAAAAGAAATGCTTATTCCAAAAACGTTTTTCGAGATTATTAAAATAAAACATATGCGAAAGAACTTCTAAAAGCCTTATCTCTCAAATATGATGCAAAGTTATTATAAGGTTTGAATCGAAGCTTCGAATTTTTTAAAAATTACGAAATCAGTTTTCATCATACTCATCTGTCTAAACTGAAATACATAGCTATCCGGTTTTTTACGAGGTGGGGTAACTTCTATATGCTTTATTTGTGTAATGCATATTTCCTACATGAAGAGATTCTCTCCGAAGAGCTTATCGAGTTATCAGATATATATAAGAATTTCGTAATTCCTATTTACTCTGTCAACAGTAATGTGATTTATCAGACGAACGAGATTACTGAGCTTCAGTCAAAATTGAAACGCCTCTGGCAGTTTCAATTACTGCTTTCATGTTACTATAATGTCTCGAATTTTGACCTTTCTATTCGTGTTGGTTGGTTTGTTATTCGCCGGAATTCACTGTGATTATGATCCAGACTGGAAGTCTCTAGATTCAAGACCATTACCGAGTTGGTTTGACGATGCAAAAGTTGGAATTTTCATCCACTGGGGGCTATTTTCGGTTCCCAGTTTTGGCTCAGAATGGTTTTGGTCTTACTGGAAGAGTGGAATCAAAAGCTACGAGGATTTTATGAAGCAAAATTATAAGCCTGGATTTAGCTACCAAGAGTTCGCACCCATGTTTACTGCCGAATTTTACAATCCTAGTCAATGGGTGGATATATTCAAAGCTTCTGGAGCTAAGTAAGTCCTCTTTTTATTTTATTTACTGATTTTTGATGTGACTAACCGCTTGCGCAGCTAGATGCCCAAAATAGTTATTATATAATATATATATTATAGATTGGAGAAAATTATTTGTTAGATACAATTGAAACTTAGAGAGAAATATAGCTGTAGATTCACACAGTTTATTTCTGAACAAAATAATCATTGAGATTATTTTGTTTTTCAAAATGTTTTGATTTCAATTGAAATCTTATTCACTAATTAGCTAAAATGTTACCTGCATTGTAGCATTATGTAAGGTGGTCGTGTGATGCGGAATAATTTGAAATGACAAAGTTTGTATATTGTAAGCAGTTACTATTTTTAGGACAGAAAGAAGAAATATCCAAATTAAAGTGAAAAATATAAGGGATTTTTTATAAGATTAGAAGTTTATATTCGTACTTTTCACCGTACATACTCACACATATATATCTATTTTATCGAGTCAGTTCACATATATTGTATAATAATTTTAGTAAATTATTTAGTGTAATTTCATTAATAATATATTAATTATTTAAACTTTTCATTGGTATAATTTCTTAAAAAATTGATGATTTAATAATAAACCAAAAGTATTGCTTATTATGTTACCCTAATTTAACCAATCGTTCCAGTCAATGAGTCTGGCAATAGAAATAATACAAAGAGCTATAGTGAATCCTGCAACTCGCTATACAATTTTATTGTTCAGTTGCAAAGTTGTCGCGAAACTTTTAATGTGTTCTTGTTGTCATTTTCAGTTGTGATCCAGAAAGGTCCTGGAATGATGAAAAATGTTTTAAAGCATTTTATTTATCAGCGCATGAAAATATTTTATTATTTACAATCTATGCGGAATATTAGATAAGTATTAACATAGTTTTCTCTTCATATCTTCTCAACAATATTTATATTATTTTCGTTACGCTATTCTACTTTTCAAATATATTGTTAGTGTTTATATTAAGCTGATAAGAACAGATAAAACCAATTTTATTGAGCTAATATTAACAATATTTACAGACTATGTACAATCAAGTACAGCGTTCAACAAGAATTCAGTATATCATTACAGAGTATAGATGTGTACATGAAGTGCAATACAGCAAAAGTAATTACAATATTGCAGATTATATACATAATATAAAATATGCAACTGATGGTGATGCGTAGATGTTACATACATCATTTGCTTGTTTTAACATACCGTATTGGCTATGATTGGTGTATTAATTGCATGTCAATGTTCACGAGTCAAAGTTCATGAGTCAGAGTTCATACAGTCCAGGATTTACAAAAAGCACAAGTTCGTGAGAATTTACAGTTCATACCTAATTTTCATTTTTCTGGGAGTGGCTTTCTTCATTAATTGGAGGATTTTCCTCGATGTGTGATGTAAATTCGCTTCTTCCACTTAAATGTCCAACGTAGATATTCCTGCTATGGCGGATTACATCACTAACACATAGCATCCGAAAGAGGCGGGCGTAGGAACTGGAACAGGCGATGTTGAGGAATTTATCATTCGTACGATCCCATTACCCCAGTGCACCTATGACGAATGGAACAATCACGCAATGTCCACGTTCTTGGGCGATGGAAGCTCGGAGCATTTCATATTTTTCAAGCTTTCTGGCTCTCGCTTCAGCAAAGGCACCCAAGTGGTTTTCGAAGGGGATTGTAACGTCAATGAGGAAGTATTGTCCATCCTTTTCAACTAGGAGGTCAGGCCTAAGCCGTGAGGTGTTAAGGGACTGGTCCACAGAAATGATGTTGAAGTCTCTCTCACACATCTTGATTAGGCGATCGACAATCGCATTGTGTCGCTCTTTGTAGAGGGTTGAGTATGCCATGCAATGATCTAAAACATGTGGGAGAGTTTCTCTGTCGGCTCCACAACGGCGACATCTTGGGTCAAGGTTCGACCATGGCTTGGCGCCATTAAGGCTAACAAGATTCAGTCGGGCCTTATGGACGAACCTCCAATCAGCAAATCGAGTGTAACTTCCAGATTGCAAAAAGTGGGTGGAGGCTTTTGAGGCGGCACACATTCCAATGTTTTCCTTGATTGGGGATTGTTTCTCTGACGGATTTACAGGACTTCCTGATCGAGGTGCGCAATGATCTGATGACGGTCCACTTGACCTGCAATCTCCTGGAGGCAGCACGAGCAGCAGTCCAGATGTTCCCAATACGGTTGCTGCTTCTACGGAATTCTCCATCAGTAGTGCCAGAGAGGAAGGCAGCAACATCCGGGTCCTCATCCCGCAGTTGCAAGCGATGTCTCACAGTATCTTTTAGATCCTCCCAGGCCAAAGAACGTACAAAGGTGTCACGCGAAGTCAGAAGCTTGAACGCTGTATCTATCGCAAAGATATCTGATTCCTCAGCAGCCATCGGCAAGTTAACAGCTCCACTGGCCGGGCTTCCATAAAGGTAGTCATTAGTGGCACGGTGAGGGAGATAGAGAGTGTCTTTCAAAAGCGGTCGTAAGACCTTGTCGAGCTTTTCCCACTCTCCCTTAGGAATCTGGGATGTGCGCATTGCAAAGGTGAAGGATGGGTACAGGAATGTTTTAACGGCATCCAATCTCTGCCAGGGTGCCAATTTTGATGTCAGGAGTCTCCGTCCATTTCCAATGAACCGCTCGATGCTGGAAGGAGTGCCACATTCTCCCAGGAATCCAACTGGCTTTCCCAAAAAGTCGCAAGTCTCTCCATCATTGAGGTGGCGGATGGGCTGTCCATTGATGTTGAACTGCGTGGGTCGAGTGCCAGCAGGTCTGCAACCGGTCAGGTGAAGGGAGGCGCACTTAGTTCCATTAATCCCAAGCGAGAGTAAGTCACATGAAGTGGAGAATTTGTTGATCAGTGACTGAAGCTCAGCAGGTGAGGAAGCAAGGAGGGCAACGTCATCTGCATATGCCAGAATAGCAACCGCTGTCCGAAGAGGCCGTGTTCCAGAGAATGGGATCCATTGTTGTGACAAAGAGAACGCCACTCAGAGGATCACCTTGAAGGATGCCAGAGCGAACTGGGATGGGGGGCGTGGTACCGTCGTTTGACACGAATTCAGTAGATACATTTTCATACATGTCTTTGATGATGCTGCAGAAGTGATTTCCAGCACCAATGTACTCAAGAGTGTCAGAGATAGCTGAGTGTGGGGACGGACCCGAAGGCGTCAGCAATATCCATCCACGCAACACAAGGTCTTTTTTCTGTGTTCTAGCATCATTCATCTTCTTTTGAAGCAGGAAGTTGTTCTCCACAACACCATCAAATGGGCGAAATCCCTTTTGCCTGGCCTGGGTGGAGGATGTCATTGCATTTCAAGCCAATCGGACAGTCTAGTAGCAAGGAGGCCAGAGAAATCTTTGCAATAGTCCGACAAAGTGAAAATCGGTCGCCAGTTATTCGGGTCGTCAGGGTCGCCTTTCTTGTAAATCAAGATGCTCCTAGAGCTCTTCCAAGATGCTCCTAGAGCTCTTCCAAGAGTGAGGGATTCTACGGAACCGAAGGCAGATGTTAAAGAGAACAGTCAGGACGCATCCCTCCGGGTCCAGAGATCTCCAATGGTTGTAAGTGAGTCGATCCGGCCCAGGTGCCGTGTTCTCAAATCTTCTGAGCCTGGTAATAACCTCAGCTTCAGTGAAAGGCTCCATATTAATCGGCGAAGAGATCTGTGGCGGGGATCTAGAGTTGAGGATGGAGTTGTTGAAAGTTCTGTCCGTCCTGGTGTGGCTAAAGTGTTCCTCTAGGCGTGAGAGGGGAATTTCACAGTTCCTTGAATTGCCAGACATAATAAGCCGTGCCGCCCGCCTTCTATTCCTTCTGTAAAGCTTCTGTAAGGCAGTGGCGTCATCAATATTTACAGGGGCCCGCTGGGGAGTGGGAACAGACGACTGAAGCCTGCATTCCCCCTGTGCAAACCCGATGATCTCATTGAGTGTGTTCTGGAAGAGGTCCCAGGAGTCATTGGTGACCTCGCTGTTCAGGATGTTGTCAAGGATTGGCAGGAAGCAGGAAAGGGCACTGGAGGCAGGAGGGGCCTGTAGAGCAGGAGCAGGAGCAACAGAAGCCAATGGGGGCATGGACTTGCAGGAGGTAGCACAGTCGTCACGGATGGATCAGGATTACTTGCAATCGCTGGGGCAACATCATTAGGACTGGTAGTAGAAGCCAGAGGAGAGACAGGAAGTACAGCTGAAGTGAGTGTAGCCAAGTTCCTGTTCCTTGCATCCTGTCTTCTGTGATACATCCGGTGATTGTCAAGGCCCTTCCTAGAAGTGAAAGACCTGTCACATAGCCGGCATTGGAATCTACGTTGTACTGAAGAAGTCTCAGACTGCGACATAAGATGTAGTTCATTTGCGAGGCAGGAGTGGTGTGACGGTCGTCCACTTATGGCGTTGTTGCAGTGGAGGCAGAAGTATTTGACTGAATGGATTCAAATGCCTTTCCAGTGATCTTCTCTGTGCAGTCCACCTGCAACTGCTGTAGGCAAATCTGCATCCAGTCTCCGTGCAAACGAAAGTCGGGGGAATGGGAAAGAAGACAAGCAAGGATGACTCCTCTCGAGAAGGCTCGGCGTGAGACTGAGTCAGTAGATCCATCAGCAGCAGGAGAGCAACCAGCAGGGTCAGATGGGCAGCCAGGACGACTGACAGAGGCATCCTGAGAATCCTCATTTTGAGTCCTAAGGCTACCGGGGGGAGGAGTTCCCATCAGGATCATCCGGCAAGGAGACATCAGCAGGAGAAGCAGGGGGTGAAGCAGACGGTGCAGGTGACGCATGGGCAGGAGACACGCAGTGAGGACTTGGAGCGCAGGAAGATGCTGAATCAGACGAAGACTCAGACTGTGGAACAGGAGAAGAGGAATTGCAACCAGGTGCGGAGGGAGCAGCATTCACAGGTGGACAAGCGTGGCCAGCAGCAGTACGTGACCTGGTGTGATGGCAGACGGGTGATTCACCGGTGATGTCTTTTG